AGCGATTTCTCATTCACCCGTTATCCGTTTTGAGCGTACCATATATCGAATTGTAGCCCTAAGCAAGGACAATCCGAAACCACTTTGACCCGACCCAAATCGGAAGTGGACCCCGCTCAAAAAATTGCCCCAAAATGACCATTTAATGCAATTTATAACACTTTTTTCCAACAATTGTATAGGGAGTAGTTACCATAAGGTGTGAATTGTGTAGTAAGTGTTTTTTCCGCTTTCATTCTGTCCAATATAGTACTCGGTATCTATGACGTACTCTTTTAGTATTCATCTTTGAATTGTTTGACTTTTATTCCTCCAAATTGGGTGAGAGAGGCTTTTGGTTCTGCGGTCCCATGGTTGATCCTGTCGAGTTTTGGGCCTATGGGCGATATACTATTTTGGCCTTATTTCCAAGATAAACTGTAAATTATACTTAAAGTAAAAATTACAGTATAATAAAACTATGAGAAATTACTCTAAATACGACTTAAAACGTTTGTATATTCCAAACAAAGATTATCATGTTTTTATTCTCCAAATAGAAGTAATTATTGCCATATTTTGATAGTACCATATTTTACACATGATTGTATTTTCCGAACATGACAATAATTACTCCTATTCAGAAAATAAACACATGAGAGTCCTATTTTGATATTATAAAAAAATTACTCATATTTCAGGAATTCTCCCTACAACTATCTAATAAAGGTTATAAAACAAAGATGAAATTCATCTTCAAATTATTTGAATTGCATATTTGGACAAATGTAACAACACAAGTATCACAAAATAACATTGTGAAGTAAAATCATCAATAATTGCTTTATAATCAATATTTTCCAAGATCATGTGTACAATGTTTAAAATTGACAATCCATTAAATTTTTTTTGAAGCATAATAGATAATTGGGATAATGTTTGAGAATTGGGAGGCACCGACAGCTCAAAGACAATAATATAAATTGGTAATTTTGTAATTAAAAGAATAAAAAATCTTAAAGGCTAAAAAAATGTGAAGAGGCGTGCTGTTATTGATTCAACAACAAATGTGTTGACTTACAACCAACTCTATTTAAAAATCAAAACTAAATTTATATTCCTTTTTAAAACTTGTCTAGCTCCGTAACCTCCGTTCAAGACTTTTTAGTTATGTTTTAAAATTCTCAAATTGTCATCAAAAATTACGCATTATGCCTGATTAATTAATTGAAGTTATAAATAAAAAAGAAGCCTACTCAAATTACATATAAAGAAAAAAAAATGGACCTAATTTTCTTTCTACTTTTTTTCGGGCCTAGGGCGGTCGCCCTTGCTGCCCTCCCCCTAGGACCGGCCTTGTGCGGTTCTAATCTAAAATGAAAGTATGTAAACTATGATATTAACTTGACATTGTAATGCACACTAAGTTTTGACCACACAAGCACTCATACGTCTATATATACAATCACTGTTCTAAAAGGCGCTAGGCGCTAGTCGGGCGGTGATTGGCCGCCTAGCGCCTAGCCCGCCTAGGCGCCGACTAGGGCGCCTAGGTATTTTCCTTTATTTCTTTGTTTTTTTTATTTTCATTGACATTTAAATATATTACCAATAATTTTATATATTATTTTGAAAATAGAAATAGCTCATATAATCATTAGATATTATGGTTTGTGTATAAAAATTATAAATAATGAAATAATTAATAGATAAATGTAGAGATTTATATATTTTTAGTCTCTAAAAATGTATATATACACTCTAAAAAGTTATAAATATGTCAAAATAATTATTTGTCGTAGTAATATGAAGCTAAACTATATAGAAATAGAATACTTATTGATCAAACGCGGTTTTAAGTCAAACCGGGGAAAAAAAAGTTGAATCGGGGAAAAAATTAATCCGGACCGCCTAGCCACCGCCTAGCCCGCCCAGGAGCCCGCCTAGCCGCCTAGGCGGCCGCCTAGCCCGCCTAGGCGGCCGCCTAGCCCGCCTAGGCGCCCGACCGATTTTTTCGACCGATTACACCAATATCGGGGCGCCCGGCCACCGCCTAGCGACTAGGCGGCGCCTAGGCGGGCGCCTAGGCGGGCGCCTAGGCGGGCGCCTAGCCCGATTTTTAGATCCATGTATACAATTGGGATTAAAATTTTAACTTTGAAGTCATAACATCTAAAGAGATTTTTCAACCCTCTTATTTTTCAAATATACCAATGTGGTAAGTGACTTATATTTAAAAATGCAATTAAGTATCTACCAGTTAGGGGTGAGCATGGGACAGTACGTGACGGTTATTTCTAAAAACATGTCCCGTCCCAAAGTACGGTTCTTTTAAAAATCAAAGATCCGGTACCGTCCCGAATATATATAGAACCTATCCCATTCCGTACCAATTTTCGGTATGGTTCAGTACGGCTCTTGGTTACTATTCGATTTCTAAATAATTAAATCCTACATAGTCAAAAATATTTTAAGTTTTGCCATTAATAAGTAACTATACAAAAATTGATTAATTGAAGAGAAGGGACCAAAATATTAAAATCAAACATAAGTGAAATACAAAACTAATAGTCAAAACTATAATAAAGAAAGGTAACATTCAACTAAAAATCGAAAGTGATAGCAAAAAAAAAGGTATGTCTTCACATGACAAATATAATATAATATAATACTCCCTCCGTCCCCTTAAGTTTGTCCCGTTTTACCTTTTTCTTCCGTCCCACTAAGTTTGTCTCATACCATATTTGGTAACATTTGAGTGGTTAGAATTCATTCTTAATTTATTTATACTTTATCAATTCAATACCAACCACACAATTCCACTTTTTCTTAAAAACCACACCACACCCCTCCGTCCCAAACTTAGGGGGACGGAGGGAGTATATAATATAATATTTGAGTAAAGCTCGGTTATTTATAATGTGGTACGGTTTTATATATAATACTACCTCCGTCCCATTTTTATTGGGATGGAATAGGGTGGCACGGTTATTAAGAAAATTGAGTTTGTGTGGTTGATATTAATTGATAAAGTAAGAATAAAGTAAGAATGATTTAGAGCCACACAAACTTTGCCAAATATGGTATGAGACAATTTAAGTGGGACTTCCCGAAAAGGTAAAACGGGACAATATAGCCAATTTTTCCGGACGATATGAGACGGTTCGGGACAGTTCGGTTCAATACGGTTCGGTACGGTTCTGGGACGGTTCTCACTCAAGACCCGGTACCATACCATATTATTAAAAAAGATCGGTACAGTACGGTATGATATTATATTTTTCCGGTTTCATTCGGTTCTGGTACGATTTGGGACGGTTCGTGGTACATAACGGGAAATCCCAGATCCGTGCTCAGCCCTACTGCCAGTGAGCAAACATGCTTGTACTATTTAAGATTTAATTGTTTAGTGGGTATATTAAATATCTACATAATTTATAAATTTTATACTTTTATGAAAATATTATGAATAAAGAACATTTAGATATAATTTTTATATTCAAAATAATTTCATATAAAAAATATTGTTGGTCAAAGTTTATTGCCATTAACCAAGAAAAGTCCATTTGGCGAACCCCTTTGGGTCGGATCAGGTTGTAGCAGGGTTTTAAATAGCCGTAGCGGCAGCTTGTAGCGGTAGTGGTCATCTCGGTAGCGGCCTCTGCGATGCGTATAGCGGTCGCAACGGCATGATATATTTTCAAGTGCGCAAAATGCACTTGATAGCCGTAGCGGGCGGCTATTTAAAACTCTGGGTAGTAGCACATATTGATATGATAACTTTAGTATTTTATGTCCAATTACATATTGTGCATTTTAAGTCGGCGTTACTCCTCTACATTATTACACTTCTGAACATAATCACTACACTTCATGCTAACATTGTGACAATATCTGCTGGCTTGGATGTAGTGCTTAACACTCTCGCTCAATGCATTCATCCATTCATTAGAAGTTCAAAGCGATTATGGCATCAATGAGAGCATGAAAGTATAGACCCCCTTGTCTGCCTGAGAACGCAACCCTTGTCCATCGAGACGGGGGGTAAGGTCCTTTGTCCCAAACCTTCAGTCCAACACCATCTTCTGGGCACCCCGGTTCTAAATATAAAATCGAGGCCCCACACTAATATTAAAAAAATCTCAATCTAAATACTTATATTCAAGTCAAGTGAATACTCATTAAATTATACCACGTATGATAAACTTTTTTCTAAAACTTACTTAGTACTCGATTTAAAGCAACACAACTCATTATTCAAACAATATGAATAAAACAGCTTAGAACTAAAAGGACCTATTAAAAATGATGAATCTATATATTTCTTCCTTACTTATTGTATTTAAATACATATAATATTACTATATAATCTTTGTAAAATTTTAAAAATTTGGGGCCCCGTAAAATCGGAGGCCCTGTTCTGGATAACCTAATTAACCTCCTAAAAGACGGCCCTGCACCCCAACCACCCTTATTTCAAGAAATACAAGAAGAAGTTGGAGCCGAGCGGGCGGCTAGAGGCAGATGACAGGCGGGTGGCGAGCGGTCGGCTGTAGACTGGAGGCGAACGACGAGTGGGTGTCTGGATGCTGCAGGCGGATGATGAGTAGGCAGCTGGGTGTCCGGTGGCTGTCGAGTGGCTGGGTACCTAGAGGCCGGAGGCTGGAGGAGGCTGGCGGGGTGACTCAATGCAAATGATCGATAAAGAAGATCAGAGATTAGGAAGTTAGGGTATTATTCATATAATACCAATGGAATATTATTTTAGAAAAAAAAACTAACTAGATACCTAAAATTAAAGTATAAAACTTTTCCTATATTATATTGTAGTCATATTTAAGGATTCCTTTGAACCCATCAAGAAAAACCTCTAGAAATGCCTTATAAATAAAACATCCATAGAAGCAAACATGCCTTTCTTCATTTGTACATTAATCACATACGCTTCCAATTCTCACAAACCTTAGTAGTTGAATATACATAAGAATAACTAATACAGAGTACTATCATTTGTGTTACGTTTTAGCCTTAACCAATTAACCAAACATTCCAAGTTAAATGCATTATATTTATTCCTAGCATCTTGTTTAATTTCCTCATCATTCTTTCAATTTGTTCTTAAATCTAATGGATGGCACCGCCGCCGCCGCCAACCATGTCAGCCAGAAGAACGACCGGCGGCAAGATCTTTGGTGCTACCATTGTTACAAAACAGTCACCCTTTCATCTTCTGAAACAACATTAATATGTCCAACATGTTCCGGCCATACTCTCGTCGACTTCATTTATGCATTTCTGGACAACCAGCTCTGTTTTTGGTGCTACCAATGTGAAACCTACGAACTCTCATCACCTTCTTGTCGGACCATGAACTGCCCTCAATGTACCAATCCCATGTTTCAGATGTACAGAATCGCAATAAGCCCACCCAGCCGCCGAGTTGACGTGATACTAAGAAAGCCTCCCGGAGTGGACCCTCCACCCCCCACAAACAACACTTTGGGTCCCATGCTTGCTGTCCTCAGTTTCATAATAGAGACCCATCTTACCGGAGCCGCTTCCCGGCCGCCTCCGGCGCCGGGATCGGTAATTGTTGCTATACCCACCGTGGAAATCACGGAATCTCATATGTCAGCTGACTCGCCGGCGCCTTTATGTTCGGTGTGCTGGGGAGATTTTGTGGTTGGTGGGGAAGCACGGGAGTTGTCGTGTAAGCATATCTATCATACTGAATGTATTGTTCCATGGCTGAGGGGGTATAGCAATTCTTGTCCTCTCTGCCGGCGTGTAACGACGACAACGACGACGACAACAACAACGACAACAACGACGACAACGACAACGACGACAACGAGAAGTGTTCTTGAACGTGAGAGGGGGGTGGGGATGATGAGAAGTGGGGGAAGATGGTCAACTTTGAGAAAACTTGTTGGAGACCATTTGGGGATAGTTGCAGCACATTTGATGCAGCAGCTGGCTACGTTTGCTTGGTTGCCTTTTGGAGCAAGGTGGTATTACATGCTTGCTGGTGCATGAAATTGAAGAAATTCCCTTAAAAAAAAAGAAATTGAAGAAATTCTACATAGTTAATGAGAAGTTGCATGCATGTATTGCTCGATTATTCTCATACAAGTATTTATGGTTCTGTTTTAATTTGGCACAAGTACTAATGGCACAATTATTAATAAAAAGAGAGTTTTTTCTCGGAATACTGCTAATTAAATAAATAATTCCCAGAATAATGCTGGGTTAAGAATAATTCCCGAATTACTGTTTGCTTAACCATGGTTAAGCAAAGCCGCCACTCCAAGTGGCGGCTCTTCAGCTATCTTTATAAAAGCCGCCAGCTCGAGTGGCGGCTCTTATATAGTTATACAAAAGCCGCCACTTCGAGTGGCGGCTCATTAATCCGTAAACATACCCCTTTCTTCCCCAGCCGACGAACTAATCTGCCCTCCTCCTTCCCTCTGCAGCAATCGACGAACGGGAACAGCACGAAGCAACTCCGATTCCGGCCAGCTTTCGTCCAAACGAAGCTCAAATCAAAGGGAAAAGGCTCGTGGTGTACCCGAGGTCGTTTGTACTCCATTCCATCGACTTTCTACTGTTTGAATAGAGGTATTCTACCATTTTTGCTAAACCTAGGTTTTTTTAATTGGTTGTTCGAAATTACTTGTTTTTTTAATTAGTTTCTTTGTATTTGATGTTGTGAAATATATAACTTCTTAATCTTGTTATTATGATTGAATTTATATAATTTGTAAAATTTGAATGATACCAACTTTCACCTTTTTTGCTAAAGTTAGGTTTTTTAGTTATTGCTCTAAATTGCTTGAAATTGTTATTGTTTTGTTCAAAATTGCTGTTGATTTGCTTGAAGTTGTTGTTGTTTACTTGTTTATTAACGGATTTTGATTTTCTTTTACTAATTAACTAATGCTAATTAATCATGTGTTAATTTGTTGCTTTTTCATTACACCGCATTGTTTTTACTGGTTAATTATTATGAGTCCTAATTTAATGGTATGAAATCGTAATATGTATCTACGATCTAATACTTTTCTTTTGAATTATAGCAATTGTAGTTGAATTTTCAAATAGCGGCATACGTCATACTTTTTTTGGAATGATTTTTTCATAGAATATGTCTAGAAACTTCTCCATTGTTTGTCAATGGGGAGGAAATATTATCGAGGAGTCAAACGGAGTTCATTATGAAGGAGGGATTCGGAAGATAATTGTTGTTTCCCGTGGGGTGGATCTTGCTGAAATAATGAATAAAATTTATGCCGCCACATCCATCAATCGTATGAACAAGTTGGATTTGAAGGTTAAATATCCCATGCATGGTGGATCATACATGTTGATGCCTCTTGTTGACGACGAAGCCGTTACAGGAATGTGGACTGTAATCGAGAATCTTGATATGCATACCATGGAGATATATGTTGAAGAAGTGGCGATGTTGCCCATACAACCTGGCCACCCGCCATTGTCTTGCCCATCCACAAGTGTTCCAGTTGTGATGAATATGGTTACACAGGAGAATGGAAGATACGTGAATAGTGATGCAACGTTTCTGGATTCACAATGCAATGATGACGATGCAGATGAAAATGTGAACCATGACACACTAACAGATTCAGATGAAGATGGTGGTGATCTCGTAAGTGGCAATGCACCATCCAGCCACTACACTAAAGTTTATGAGCTCCCTGCGGGATTTGATGAATCATGGAAGGGTTGTACAACTTCTAGTTGCTTCTCTGCAGATGGTGAATTCGAGGTTGGGCAAGAGTTTGATGATAAGAAACAACTGATCAACATGGTTAGAGCGTACTCTGTAAAAAGGAACCAATTTTTCTCAGTTGTAGAGTCTGACAAACACAAATGGGTGGCAGAGTGTAAGAGGAGAAAAGAATGTGGCTGCACTTGGCGGATCCGGGCTACTAAGAAACATGAGAAGCTAGAGATGTTCAAAGTTGTTCGTTATGCAGGTCCTCATATACCTACTTGTGTAGGTAACATCGATAACAATGACCATGCTGGTATCACAGCTCAGTTCATAGCCCATGAAATTATTGATCTTCTTCGTACCGATCCATCACTAAAAGTCCGCACTATTAGTCAGCTTATGAAGGAAAGGTACGGCTATATACCTTCATACAAGCGAAGTTGGTTGGCTAAGCAAAAAGCTATCGGTGAAATATTTGGAGATTGGGAGGCCTCGTATTCTGAATTGCCTCATTTCATGTTGGCATTACAACATTCCAATCCAGGGACAGTCGTGCATTGGTACCCACCTCTTTCAGGTACCATTGAGTTATTAATATCATTATTATATCGTATTAAATTTCATTTTTAATTCGTCCTCCTAATTTTCTCCATCTTCAGGTACCACTGATGTTCAGCAGTTTCAAAGAGTTTTTTGGTCATTTAAGCCATCCATTAAGGGCTTTAAACATTGTCGTCCCTTACTGACCATCGATGGAACACACTTATATGGGAAGTATAAAGGTACGCTGTTGGTGGCAATGGGTAGTGATGCTAATAATCAACTGTTCCCTTTGGCGTTTGCTATTTGTGAATCAGAGAATGGAGAAAGTTGGCCGTGGTTTATGGCGTGCATACGTCATTCAATCACACGCAGAGAATTGTGTGTTATTTCAGATCGACATGCTGGAATCATGAAGGCATTTAATGAGGTAGGGAGTGGATGGGAGGAGCCAGATGCACGACATAGGCTTTGCATACGGCATGTCGCTTCTAATCTGCATACTCAATTTAAAGACATTCACTTGAAGAATCTGTTCGTTTGGACAGCCAGTCAACATCAAAAGAAGAAATTTGATGGTGGATTTAACAAGATAGGCGAAATGCATGCGCAGGCACGAGAATATCTAGCGAACATTGGCTTGGAGAAATGGTCTTTACACCACGACGGGGGATACAGGTATGGCACCTCAACAACGAACATGGCTGAAGTTTTCAATAGCGTCATGAAAAGTGCACGATACCTGCCTGTAACCGCCTTAGTTGAGTTATCATTCTATCGTGTGAATGCCTATTTTGTGGAAAGAAGAGAAACTAGTAAGAGAAGATTAGCAGAAGGGCATCGCTACTGCCAGCAAGTGACCGAACTGATTGAGAAAAATACGGAAAAAGCAAAGCATCACAAGGTCACAATATTTGACATAGGCCGTGGTTTATACCAAGTGGAGACGGGTCGTGGTGGTCGAACCGTGGGGAAGGGTGGTAAAAAACAAACGGTGAATTTGCACCGTCGCCATTGCACATGTCAGAAGCTGAATATTTATAAGATTCCTTGCTCACATCTATTAGCGGTATGCAGAGACCGTAGTTTGTCCTATGATCCATTTGTAGATATATTTTTTTCATCATCGGAGTATGCTGCTTCCTATAAAAGAGTATTTAAGCCCATATCAGATATAGCGTATCGACCTACTTACACTGGCCCACGAGTTGTGCATGACCCGTCGATGATTCGCGCTAAAGGTCGTCCGAAGGCTAAACGATTGAGAAATGAAATGGATGAAGGCCCTACAGGTACTGTGAGATGCAGTAAATGCAAGCAAACAGGGCATAACAGGACGACATGTGCTAGAAGATCGGAAGGACACGTAGGGAGTTCCACTGGGTAATGTTGTTCTTTTATTCACAAATGCATTAGCAATATTAAAAAATAAATAAATTTAATTTAATAATAAAATAAAATAACTAATACACTTTTTACTTTTACAGCGCCGATGCAGGTGTCAGTGGATCCCGGACCGATTGATCCTTCAGTCCTGACATTGCAGGCCACGCACCGGAGCGAGGATGTGTGGCGTGGCCTGGATGTTCAGGTAGATAGGTGTCGTGAGCACCTACGCAGTATATTCCACATGGGGGTGGACGATAGGATTCTACATTACGTTCGATTAGCTGGGTTTTATGGTGTTCACAGATTAGTTTCGACTCTGCATAAAGATAGAGCATTACTTACCGCTCTACTTGAGCGTTGGAGGCAGGAGACTCACACGTTCCATTTACCAGTGGGTGAGGTCACGATCACATTAGGAGATGTGGCTGTATTGGCAGGTCTACCGATCGAGGGTCGGGCAGTTACTGGGACTGCATGTAGACTGTGGGTTGATTTGGTACACAGATTGTTGGGAGTACGGCCACACCCTGGGACAGATATTCGGGGGTCCGCCTTGAGGATGGCTTGGTTGAGAGAGCATTTTGTTGGTTTACCTGCTGATGCTGATGACGATGTTGTGCAGCAGTACGCGAGAGCCTACATTCTGATGCTTATGGGAGCTTCCACGTTTGCGGACAAGAGCGGGAATGAGGTGCAGGTCTTGTATTTACCCATTCTGGAGTCTTTTGATGTAGCTGCAGTTTATAGCTGGGGTAGTGCGACTTTAGCATACCTATATCGGCAGTTATGTCGAGGATGCCATCGTGACGGTGGAGAGATGGGTGGGTTTTTATTGTTGATACAGCTATGGTCATGGGAGCACATTCATATCGGCAGACCTGTCATACTGCGATATCATGGGATAGATGGTGGTCCTCTTGATGATGATATGGATCAGCACGCTGTACTTGGGCCACATCATGTTCGTGGCGAGGATCCTTTGGGTCGTAGGTATGTTTATGATTTTTTTTTGTATGACATACGTGAATCCCTTTTATATTCATATACATTACTGTGTGTCAGATGGCTATTTGCTCATGTCACGCGCACGTCATCCGCTGCTGGATTAGGATACTACCGAGATGCTTTAGATCGCTTGTGTGATGATCAGGTATATCATTTATATCATTAAATGTAAGTACTTTGTTTTATGTTTTTATAAACCATGGTCTAACATAATTTTATATTATAGATGACGTGGATGCCGTACACTGATGAGATTTTAGGGCTGTTGCCTCCTGTTGCCCGAGAGCACACTGAGATATGGCGAGCACGTGTGCCCTTGATATGTTTTGATGTAGTGGAGCATCACTTTCCTGATCGCGTACTACGCCAGTTCGGGTTGCAGCAGATTACTCCCAGACCTTGTGATACATCTGTGGATTTGCACAAGATTGATAGACGGGGGAAGCACACTGAAGATTGGGGGATGCGCCATATTCAGTATATCACTATGTGGGATGAGAGAGCGGCGTATATAGTGGACGGGATCCCATCATTAGTCCCCACAGCTTCTGTAGACTACATGAGATGGTATTACACCATCACACGGGTGTTTATCTCTCCCAGTTTTCGTTTACCCACTGATCATTACCAGCCTAGCTCAGTCGCTCTTCATATGACGGTAAACAATATAGTCAATGAAATATCTTTATTTATTTATTCATGTGTTTTTCACTAATAACCATGTTTGCATTACAGACACGGGCTTTGCGTAGCATCCATGACAGAGCGACTGCTATACTTGATGAGGCGGTAGATGTACAGGGATACCATGACGCTTGTTCAGGCATTGTTTCACTGTGCGCTGATGTATTGGGTCGAGTGGATTATGGATATATGGCCACCTCTCAGCATTCCACCGCATCTACATCCGCAGCAGGGTCTTCTCAGGCAGTCCGACGTGATAGAGTTGTTCTTCAGCCTCGTAACCAGCGCAGGCGTCCCCGAGCACAGCCACATGAACTTCATGATGATGATGATCACATTGACTTATGATGTTTGTATTTAAATTATTGTGTGAAAGTTGTAGCATGCACTGGCAGATCGAATCATTTTGTGAAACACCAGATTTATTATAACTTTTATGGTTTATACTCAATTTTGTGGTGCATTGATTCGTTTTGTGAAAGTTTCATAATATGTAGTTTCATTGATTCGTTTTGTATTTTGGATGTATGTTGTCATGTAGTTTCATTGATTCGTTTTATGTTTCGGGTGTATTTTGTCTTAGTAAATCATATGTTTGGTTGTTTTTTTGAATGGAATGGACTGTGATTTTGTGATGAGCTGTTTTTCTGGTAATTACAGGTTTAGTTGTCTGAATGATGTTGCAGCAGGTTCGTTAACACAAAAGCCGCCACTTGGAGTGGCGGCTTTCCTTAACCGTGGTTAACCCCAGCAGTATTTCGGGAATTATTCTTGACCCGGCAGTATTTTGGGAATTATTTATTTAATTAGCATTATTCCGGGAAAAAACTCATAAAAAGAAGGAAGAGAAATAGATTTAAATAGGACTAAAAGGAAGACCAGGAACGTATATAAATAGGACTTCAAACTTTTATAACTCTAAATAGAACCAATTTTGACGGGAGGGACAAAAATAACCCTAGCTGCCCCTGCAAATTCTGGTGCCAATATACGCAGATACGCAGACTCATTCACGCCAGGCTGCCACACATGTAGGTAACGATCAGGAAGCCTTCGATTACCATATTTATCAACAGAGTAAATGTCATAGGCGATTACCACTGCTGTTCCGCTGATAGTTGTCGCCAGATTGTTCGCCGGTGTGAGTTATCACCGGGGTGGTCGTCGTCGAATGGGCCAGGATGTTAGATAGTCTTCTTTTTCTTCCTCTTCTCCCTTCCCGCTCTTCTTCCGTCTCCTCCTCCCCTCTTTAATTCCTCCCTTTTAATCACCAAGTTGTTGTATCCCCTATCCTGTATTCCTGTAATCCTGTGCGATGCGTACGTCTTCTCGAAGCTACTCTTCCGTGTCCTGCAATTTATATATTCCCTCCGTCCCTGAATTATCTTCAAACTTTCCTTTTTCATTCGTCCCAAAATTATCTTCACTTTCCCTTTTTGACAAAGAATTCGTGGTTCACAACCATTCTGACACATTTCTCTCTCCTCGGCACACCTCTCCACCACACAAATCCCACTATCTTAATCTTCGTGTCGGGTCAAATGAGGAGATAAAAGAGGGGCGGAGGGAGTATATGTTTTCTTAGCGTTTTGTAGTTTAATTGGACTTTTCTGTAGGGATCAAAAAGGGGTCTCTATGACACCCACAAAGTCACAACCTCAAGAGTCAAGACAATCAACTAAGGAAGCAACCCAAACTAGCACACAACCAAATTACCACACAAAACCAACACTATTGCAGAATATAAAGCACAACAAAGAGCAGAAATAAAGCACACGGAGCACACACGATTTTTTACGTGGAAAACCCTTCAACGAATCAACGTGAAGGATAAAAAACCACAGGACCTCTTAAGGAGTCCACCCTTAATTCTCTTATTGACAAATGAGGGTAAAAGAACCCCAAATCAGTCTACAAAGGATTCACAGCCCACCAACAATCACCAATAAGAGATCAAAAATCAAAATAGCACAATAAGGTGTAGAAATCACCCAAAACTGCAGGTCTGTTCGTGCAGCGTTTCTGACCAAACCAGAGCTCAACTGAACAATCCGACCGTTCAAAATGATTCCCTTGAAGTCACGAACAAGTTGTCCAAATTTCAGCAAAATCCGACAACGGGAACACCTCCGATCGACGAGCTGAATGAAGCAGTGCAATGCAGGCCGAAAATCCGAAAATCCGTCAAATCTTTCTGTTTTTCGTATGTGCGTGTGTCTCTCTGCCAAAGCCTTCCCAAGATGATATTTTACAGCAGGGTAATTCTATTCACATCCACTAATTTACTAAATACAACCACTTGTTTTTTATAATTCCTATTATGTCCCTAATAGAATAAATCCCCAGCCCACAGCCTCCCCTGTAAATAGATCGATCTTCTTCTCGTGCACGATATGCGGGTGGTGTAGCGACTTCAAATGCTTTCCCGAGCTTCTGTACCGGCTTTTGGAAGGTGACAAGGTTAGGAAAATTTGAAAAAGCCAACCTGAGCTCTATAAGCATAGAATGAAACGTAAGTGCAGATACGTTGCTCCTAATGATAAGAAAAAGCAGCCATTGACAAGGCTCAAAGGAAAGCTCGGATTTTTGCTAATCAGAGGACACACATGGCTGCAGCGAGTCGAGCGAGGGAATCTGCTAAAACCGGCGAAAAAGGCCATTCTCAGATGCAAACACAACCCAGATTACAGATACTTTCATGACTCCATCTCTGATTTGATTTCTTCGCTGAGTTTCTGAAGAAAGATTGAGAATCATTGAATCAAACTGGACCAAGGTCTTCTCGTGGGCAAAGCCGCAAAGATGACAACAATTGCAGTGGGCTTCTCCATCCTTAGATTTTGTCAACTATGTACATATTCATAAGCTTAGCAAAATCCCTTCAAGTTAAAGAAAGCTATTGCAATTTGCAAGCAATTTCAGTTCATCTTTCTGGAGTATTTCAACATTAGAAAACGAAAACTAGAATTTTGGGGAGATTGTATTGGGCTGCCGATTGGTGTATTAATTAAGGTTATAATAGAAACTAGTGAAAATATGTGGCTATATTTAGTATCCTTTACAGCAAGATAGACTCCAAAATTTTTGTCTTAGAAGCCCAAAGCTCAAAATCAAATAGACCCAAAAAATAGGACATAAAAATCGAGGTAAGGGTCAGATTGGTACTCGAAGTTGCAAAAAAGGGTCAAATAAGTCCCTATATAGGAGGCTCTGTCTAGCCATCGTCATTTGAAGCGGTTCCCGATGGAATTTTTTGACGAATTTTTTTGAGCATCTTATTCATTAAGTCTAGTTTACTCATACTATACCGAATTTCAACTAAACATTCAACCGGGAAGGCATTCAAATGAATTCTTGAAGATAACTACGCAGTTAAAAGCGCAGTTATCTTCAAGAATTCATTTGAATGTCTTCCCAGTTGAAGTTTTAGCTGAAATTTGGTATGAGTAAACTAGACTTAATGAATAAGATGCTCAAAACAATTCATCAAAAAACTCCACCGGGAACCATCCCAAATGGCGACGGCCGGACAGTAAGGACTTATTTGACCCTTTTTATGCAACTTTGAGTACCAATCTGACCCTTACCTCCATAAAAATCCATCAAACTAGGCCCTAACATAAACAACAAAAATAATATAAAATATTGCAAATAAGGGCTGGACCCATAACATTTTCAATATCAGACTCTGTACTTTTTATTTTTTCTTTTCTATTCTTTATTTTTTTTGCAGTTCACTTTATGAAATTAATTTTCTCGAGATAGACTATTCCTTTATTTATTTTGGCAAATCCTTTTCATTGACAATAAAATACATAGTAATAAATATTGTTACATCGTTAATAATTTAGTATTAATAACTTCATCTTTATTTTGTTGAGCTTTATTACGTAGTACATATATTATTTTTGACAATGACATTATATTATCAAAGTTTATTACAAAATACTCAAATGCATAAATTCTGGTCAATGACATTGTGACTCTTTTCCGGTCAACAACATTGATATGATATTAAGGCTATCATTCTAAGATACACAATGCTATTGTGCTAAAGAAAGGAGTTTTGATAATAAACAAAGAGGCTATAAATTTTGTGGCCATTTGGAACTTATAAATTGTGCTTTAAAAATGTTTTAGTAAAATGTCACAATATAAAAAATGTCATATCACATACTCCGTATTTAAATCGCACCGCTTACATCATCACGAATTAAAAAATGACACATAGTAAACAATGTCACACTTTCAAAGTCAATGCTACAAAAATAATAATGGTAATGTCAACGCTGTTATCAATGTCTGTCATGACAAGGTTAATGATATAAAAATTTATTGAAATACGTTTTTGACAATGTATTATAATGTTATTATATCACCATGTAGTGAAATATTGAAATGCCATTATTTATAAATTATGACAATGTACTATAATGTCATTGTTTAAAGCTACTGAAAAAATGTCATATATTGTCCCAATATCAAATAATGACAATGTTGATGGTAATGAATTTGGAAATATACTCCATCAAATGTGAATGAACAATGATAATGTTAAAACAATGATATCATAATAATGACAATGTCAATGTAATGTCGTGCTATAAGAAATGACATTGTAATAATGACTGTGACACTCCTAAAATTTAATAAAAAAAAAAGATTTAATATAAACTAACACCTGATAACTGTTAATTGTATACATGGATAATTTTCTTAACTTATGCTTTGGGACGAAGCATCTTTTAAGGAGGGTAGAATGTGACACCCCGAAAAATTAAATAAAATAAATAAATTTATTAGTCAGATAAAATGTTACGAATGTCACATTCTTATAATTAAGTGAATCAGATAAAATTTTAACATCGATAACAACTTTAATCAGATAAAAATGTTTCAGTAATAAAAGTGACGATTTTATAATAACTATGTAATCAAGTAAGATCTTGACTTAAATAACAAAGGTGGCATTTCGTAAAAAGTGAAAATAATACCTATGACATAAATAATAAGAGTGATATCTGAATTCGAAGATAAGAGTTAATAATATGTGCACATAAAATACCACACAAAGATAAAGATGTTATACATGCATTGACTTTTCAAGTCTAATAATATACATAATACACTACATATTAGTATATCTGCAGCTCACCATGGTAATAACAATAATACACATTCATGCATCCTTAGCTTGCATAATTCAACACCCACATGGGATACCATGTATGATGCATCTCTCACCACTAAAACAGTACAATCACAATAATTTTCTTATCTCCATATTACTCTCGCACACCTAACCTCCGAATAAGAACACAAGTACGAGTTCCACCCACATGTATATATCGAAGCCAAGCTACTCATCGCCGACCTACACTCACATGTGTTGTTCATAGCTAGAACCCCCAATCTCATAGTATAAATAACAGACCAGACCTTCAGCTCTCTTCATCCCCAAACCTGCGGCATATATATAGATACACACACACACACACACACACACACACACACACACACACATATATATATATATATACATACATATATGCGAATTTACAACCCTTCGTTTTAGCCAGAACCAAACCTAGAAAACACTCTAAAACCCTTCCACTTTGAGAGGGGAATCCAACGGAGAAAGAATCGTAGGAAAACGGTCGTGAAACGAGGGGGAAACACTTCGCCGGAGTCTCGCCGGGCTACTCTTCACATCGGAAACCAGAGGAAGGAGAGCTGCCGTTGTCCTCCAGTCCATTACTGACCTTCTCCGTCGCAGAAGGAGTCCACCGTCGCCGTCGATCCAATCGTCGGTCCTCAGAAAGGTAAGTCATCGTCCTCCGCGTTTTCTTGATTGCTCCAGCATGCGTTAATGAAGATGATGCACTGTAGGAGTGTTAATATCACTAGTTTGGGCTACTAAGTGCTATTGGGCCGGGTCGCGAATTTGGGCCAGTTCGGCCCAATTTTAATAAAAATTAAAAATAAAATAGTAAATCAAATAAATAAAATCTGTAAAAATATAAATTAAATACCTAGTATAGAAATACATATTCGGACCAACCAGAATTGAAAGATAAGATTTTTTAGCTATTTTTAATTGATTTAATTGTAATTGGACCAATTTGCACACATTTAGTAACTAATTAACTAAATGACGAAAATAATTATGAAATAAATATTGGAGTAAACTAGATTAAATATATGATTAATTAGGACACTTATGATCATTTATAAGTAATAAAAATTATGATTAGCACATTTAATTATAAGTAAACCGGTTAATAGATATATGACATTAAATGAATAAATAAGGGAAATAATTCTAAAATAAATATCTGGACAACCTAGGTCAAATATAAACCCAAAATATAGTTATGGACGGTTATAAATTTATAGAGTCGATTCTTAATCTATTTAATTTAATTGGGCCATATAAAACTAGTTAAGTAATTAAATAAAAGAATTTGAATGATAATTGTGAAATAAATAAATCACTAAGATTGGAAATAATATTCTGGACAAAAAAATGAGGGTTGGAATAAAATAAGGAAAAGAAAATAAATTTGGGATAGCTAGCATAAATGAATAACTATATTTGGACTTAATAAATAAATTACTGAATTAGTGGACTAATTGAATTAGTGTGATTAAATTAATAATTGTTATCCTTGATTATTATTGATTCGGACCCCATATAAATTATTAAACTATTTGAGCTCATAAAAATTAGTTGATTAAATATAAATAAATTAATTAAGTAATGTGTACGTAACAATTTAACTAGTTAATTGACTTTATCGGACTAGTTTTACTAAATCAATTAGTTTAATGGATAAATTAGTTAAAATATGGAATTGGTAACATTGTTGGACTTTATAGTAAAAAATAGAAAATTAAAACGAAATTAGAATTTGGTTATTGGCCTTAATTGAATTGGATTAATGAATTTAGCTATATTGATATAACTAAACTTATTTAGTTGATGAAGTTAGTTCAATTAAATTAGTTAATCAAATAAATAAATCTGGAGGGTTGGATTAGTTAACGTAATTAGGTTAGTATAAATAAACTATAGAGCTAATTAAAGTTTTATTGAGATTAGATTATCATTAATGATTATTATTTCGAATTATTGCTTATGCCAAATTATTATTAAAAGGTTTATTAAATGAACTATATAAGTTATGTAAACTGAATTTCGGACTGAAATGGATTACTTAATTTGAAATAATAAAATTATTATGTAATTAATTTGATTAAACTAGTTAACTAAATTAATTAACGTAAGTATGAAGGGGATTAGTATGGTCAAAGAAAATAATAAGGTTGGACTGAAAATTAACATTTTAAATAAGGTTTATGAATCTAACCTAATAGTTATATTTAAAGAAGGAATTATAAAGTTAAAATAATTAAAAGTGGGATAGATGGGAAATAACAAAAATAATAGAATAGTTATTGATTTAGAACTTTGATATATATTAGAAGGAGAATTCAAGTGAAGACCAAGTTAGAGATTTTATTAAGAGGATTAAGAGCATCAGGACTTAAGGTAAGTTTCTCTGCCGATCCAAAATGATTTCCTCGTACTATATGTTATTATGTGATTAAGTGTGAATTTTGAATTATGTGTATGTGATTTTGAGGAGGTATTAGATCTATGGTATTTGAGAAGTGCAAACTAAGTACTTTTGGGTATTAAATATTTTTAAATACCTTTGAGACTATTTAGAGAGATTGAGAAATATTTTTGGAAGTATATCTAAAGTCAAGATAAAATTTACGTTTTCATAAGAGGTGAGCACCCGGGAGAAATCCGTGGTGTCGGTTTTCCACATCCGGATAAATGTGGAGGGTGATTAAGGCTGCTACTACTAAGAAGTACAATTTGAGTTTAAAGTGACATTTGGATCTATGATCCCTTTTAAGAAGAAGTTATAATAGTAGTAGTCCCTAATCATTCAAGAATTTTAAAGGTGGGGTAGTTGGTAGACTGAGTCCCGATTACTCGTGATGACTTACTACTCGGAGGGCTTGGAATCCCTTTTAGGGGGTGTGCACACTTAAGGTAGTCGTTTCGTTTCCACAAGAGCAGTTGTGGTACCGGCATTGTTCGGGGTGGCCGTCCGTAACCACGGTTCACCGGGCTCAGCCGAAAGGTTGAGCACCGCCCTTCTAAACTACTAGGAAGTTAGAAAGATTGGGATTTTGAAAATCCAAAGAGAAGAAGAGTTTACCATTTAAGAAGTGACTTTTGAGGTGATACCCAGAAAAGAAGAATTTATCAATAAAGAAGTAATTTTTGAAGTAAATAAAAGAGAAAGGGGTTTCGGTGGAGTGAGTTATTTTTATATAATATTATATAAAAATCTATTTTAGTCAAACGTGATTATTTTACGGGGTTGGGTAGTACTTACTTAGCTCTAAAGCTAATTTTTGTTTCCTCTTCTTTGTTTTGTTTTCTGCACTTTATTTGTGCAGGTGATAATGATTATGTTGATTGTTGATTGCATGCGCCTGAGAGCGGATTAAAGATTCCTTAGAAAAATATAGTCAAGAATAAACATTTATTTACAAGTACATTAGTTTTAATTGTTTTATTTTGGTTTGCCTGTGCATCCGGTTAAGAGATGATCGGGTGTGGCGGTAACACCCATTTCCCATTTAATGTTATTTCCGCTGCAAAACTCTACTTATTTCGAATGAATAAATCAAGTTTATTATCAATAAATCTATTATTTCAAGTATTATTTTGGGAGGGAAAATTGGGGGTGTTACAAATTGGTATCAGAGCAATGATTTTCTGGGGAATCTTTTTCAAAGCGTTTTTCCAAAAAGTTTTCTAAACAATTTTTCAAAAGATTTCTAATGTTTCTTAAATTTTCTTAAGTGATACCAACAAATTGGTATCGGAGCCTTTTCTGGGGTATTTTTCAAAAATATTTTCCAAAAAGTTTTCTGAACTAATTTTCAAATGTTTTCTAATGTTTCTTACGTTTCTCTAAGTGATACCAACAAATTGGTATCAGAGCCCTTTGATTTTTTTGACTGGGGATTTTCAAAAAAAAAAAAAATTAAGTGAATATGGTTTTCAAAAGATTTTATAACATTTTTTCGGATTTTCTAAAATTGTTTTAGAACTATATTTTCTAAAACATATGAAATTTTCCAAGAATTTTATTTCTAAATGTTTTCAAAAAGCTTATGACAGATTTCCAAAAACTTTTTACAGAAAAAAAAACAGTAAACTTGGGAATAATAATCGGACTAAGGAAATATTAAATTTAGGATCGTGGTGAGATTGTGAGATTTATATTTTTTTTGGAACTTGATATTAATTTGAAATAGGCACATTTGTGCTATATTCCTATATACATGTCTAGGAAAGACTTAAAACTAGTGAGGAGAAATCTATGATGTCGTATGGGCACATTTGCTCCTATGTGTTTGATTTTGTGGAAAAAAAAGGAGAGACAGTAAGAGTGTCCTATGAAATTTTAGGATTATATATGCTTCAGGGACGAAGCATTCTTTCAAGGAGGGTAGAATGTGACACTCCTAAAATTTAATAAAAAAAAAGATTTAATATAAACTAACATCTGATAACTGTTAATTGTATACATGGATAATTTTCTTAACTTATGCTTCGGGACGAAGCATCTTTTAAGGAGGGTAGAATCTGACACCCCGAAAAATTAAATAAAATAAATAAATTTATTAGTTAGATAAAATGTTACGAATGTCACATTCTTATAATTAAGTGAATCAGATAAAATTTTAACATCGATAACAACTTTAATCAGATAAAAATATTTCAATAATAAAAGTGACGATTTTATAATAACTATGTAATCAAGTAAGATCTTGACTTGAATAACAAAGGTGGCATTTCGTAACAAGTGAAAATAATACCTATGACATAAATAATAAGAGTGATATCTGAATTCGAAGATAAGAGTTAATAATATGTGCACATAAAATACCACACAAAGATAAAGATGTTATACATGCATTGACTTTTCAAGTCTAATAAATATACATAATACACTATGTCCGAAAGTTCTAACTCCCTGTTTAATGAGATTCAAGCACAGCTAGAAGCCGTCTGAGAAGAGCTCCGTGCATCCAAAAGTTCCGATGCGGCGCAGCTAGAAGCCGTCCGAGAAGAGCTCCGCGCATCCAAAAGTTCCGATGCGGCACAGCTAGAAGCTATCCGAGAAGAGCTCCGCGCATCCAAAAGTTCTGATGCGGCACAATTAGAAGCTGTCCGGGAGGAAATGCGTCAACGAATGGCTCTCCTCCAAGGTGAAAATGACGCTTTGAGATCTCAGGTGCAATCGGTGGCATCCATAGCCTCCATCTCACGACGGGGTGAGGATGTGGCTACCGTGGCAACGAGACTGAACATGGGTTCGATTCCGGATTCAACGGAACCTTACATCCCTCACTCCGGGACCGACACATCTGGAGGAGCAGGGCCCTCAACTCGTTCCATTCCACCCCCAAATCCCAGAAGGAACATATTCCGAAATATGTTTGCAGATCCCCAGAGACAACATGTTCCAAATCATGTCGACATTCACAGATATGTCGACATCAACAACCAGATGCGACAAGTTCCAAGCCATGTCGACATGCCCATACGTGTCGACATCAATAATCAAAGGTGTCAGGATCCAGAGGTCGTCACCATATAGTCGCCAACCGAGTAGAGGATAACTCAGACAGAAATGTCTCCCGAAGCAGCGGGTCCACAGATACAAACAAACATGACAGGTCCATTGGCCGTCATCATGGAGGAGCTGAGGGAATTGCGAGAGAAGGTCAACAGCATACCTGGAGTCCCACGTCCACTTGACGTGGCGACACAAACCTGTTACGCAGATTCACCCTTCGGCCGACATATTGCAGACGTCGAGATTCCAAGAAAATTCACCGTACCATCAATGAAGTTGTTCGACGGAACCGCCGATCCGATAGAACATGTCGCTCAGTACAAGCAACAAATGTTAGCTGTCTCGGTTAGACCAGACTAGCGAGAAGCTTGCATGTGCAGGGCATTTGGGACGACGTTGACAGGACCAGCGTTGACACGCATGGTTCGTCAATCTGCCGAACGAAGGCATCAATTCGTTTGCGGAGCTGGTCAACTTAATCAATCAACAGTTTGCAAGCAGCCGAGCCTTGGAGAAGCAGACTAGTGACCTCCACCGAGTAGTCCAACGACACAATGAATTCTTAAGGGATTACTTGCACCAATTCAATAAGGAGAAGGTGTCAATCCCAGGTGTCACATACCGAAAACAATTGAAGCATTCAGAAAGGGACTGTTGGAGGATTCAGAGTTATATCAGGAGTTGACGAAATACCCTAGTCGGTCCTTCGAAGATGTCCAAGCAAAAGCACTGACATTCATCCATCTAGAAGAAGACTTACGATCCTGTCGAGGACAAATTGAGCAGGACGGGGGGCACGGGAAGTCAGAATCTCAAAGGAGACATGATTACAAACATGGAAAGCCATATTCGAGGCCTGATTAAAAAATGCATTCAACAGGTGAGTAGCGAATATAATTTCACTCATTTGGGATAATTTAAATTATTTGGTGCCACCAAATGCATTTTAGTATTTCCAATGCAAGTTGCGATTTGGCGGGCTGCAAACTGCGATGGGCAAGTGAGCTGCAAGAAAGGTTCACTGAAGGTGAACAAGTAGTCAAGGATGTGAGGTGTGCTGCGAGTTGGCGACTGTACTGAATCGAATTGACGGCAAGCCAACAAAGTATGCGGCTGAACAAACTCTGTGCTTTTCAGATTTTGGCAATCTGGCTTTTGCCATCTGCTAAGTTGCTCGCCTCTGCCAGGTAAGTTTATTCTTTTAATTTTTCAGATTTTCGGCAAGCAGGCAGCAACATGTTTACTTGTTTAGTTATGTAGTGTTTTGTAAATTCCTTTTATTTGCTTGACCTGAAGTGGTGCAGCCTGCCATATTTGTTTACTTCAATCTTTATTTAGTTCTTTACTTGTTTTATTGTTTAACTTAGAGTACTTGTTAATAGAAAAGTTGAATCTTTTAATATGATTGATTAATGAGTAAATAAGTGATGACTAAATTGACTTGTAAAATTTTTACTTAACGGCTATATATTTTTTTCTATTGTACGTGTGATATGATTTTATATTTTTTAGGTTATTTATGCCTCTGTATCAAATCATAATTCGAAGTGGCGGGTCATTGAAATGGTCAAACGATGGAAGTAAAAGGTAAGAACAAGCTAGTAAAATTCAATTCAAGTGTTTTATTGCAATTTAAGTGTTTTAATTTTAGCCCCTCTTCAAAATTTGTTCTGGTTCTACCTCTGTCAGTTCCATCCAAAGGTAGGGCATGTTTGGCACAACTAGCTGAAAAGATACTTTTGTGAGCTTTTTAATAACTGTTAGCTTTTAGTGACTGAAAAGATCTTAAAAATAAAAGGTGATAGCTGTTTGATGAAAAGCTGACTGTTTGATTTAGTTCGGTTTGGTATACAAGCTGTTAGGATTAATTAATACTAAAAGTCACTAGCTTTTCTTAGATGCTACTCCCAGTAGCATCTCAAAAAAGATCTTTTAATTTTTGAAAAGCTCTTAAATATTGTCATGTCAAACACACAACTAGAAGCTTTTAGGAACTTTTTGAACAGTACAAAAGCTAGAAGTCAGGGACTTATGCCTACCAAACATAACCGTAATCGACTAGTATTGGAGCTTTATATGCCTGTACTTGTTTGAACGCATAGGAAGAGAGTGATATCATTGTATTTTCTAGTGAGCATAGTATTGCATAACTGTGTACATAAAAAACTTGTGTTAATTGGAAGCAATATTATCTATCTTTATAATTTTCATTCACCGTATACACCTATTTATATAATAATTTATACCTCGTACATTCATATTTATGTAATAACATCTTTTTTAGAAGTACTTGTTAGGTTTGTTAATGCAGCTGACAAGATTAGAAACCATACGCCATAAGTGGATGATGGACTATAGGGATCCAAACATACATAATTAGGAGAGATTTGAGCAAGAGAGGTGAGGAAGAAGATGAATAGTATTGAATTATGGAATTATGACTTAGGGTTACAAGAAGCTCCAAGAGGAGTATAAATAGGGAAATCCGGGTCTGGGCCTCTAATATGGGTCCGACAGACCCGGTTACATAAATGGACTGATATAAAAAAGGCTAATCTAGCGGATACAAATACAAATCGGACTGTACAATAATATAAATGATATCGGTGAAGCATGTATGGGCCGCTGTCCAGGCCCAATAGTCGTGAGACCCTGGGGTCCAAGTCTATATACTCTATCAGTGGATTTATTAAATGGGGTACTTCTCTAACGCTTGCATTGCTTTGTAGTTTGTATTTTATTGTTTGATCTTTTTCCATCTCCTGATGCTTAAAGAATATGGGTTATTGTCATTTATTAAAATGTCATGTTGTTTTACTCAGGAGCTTGTGGAAATTAGTATTGGAATAGAGAAGAGCAATATAAAAAGCAATGAAGAAAAAATTCAAGATGTCTAGGAAAGGACCTTATATTATACCAGAGAACAAGCTACAAAAATTGCAGAATCTGTCCAAGAAATCAAGCATTCACGTACTATTTGTTTTCTCCAACCAAACTTGTTTCTTTATTATTTTGATGTACAGATTTGAGAAAGAGTTGTTTAAGTGAACTACTAAAAAATTGTTTTTCTTTATTATAATATGTCCGATGCTTTAACCTTAGATGATTGTTGGGCTGAAATCCTTCGCTTGCATTGACTGAATTTCCAGGGTAACCTTCTGCCTAAGAATTCAACATTTCCCTCCAGTATTAAATCCATCCATGGCAGATTATTTCCACCGCAGGGGCCTGATGCTAGGAATCTATTCAAGTGTTGGGTAAATGTATAAAATCAATTTAACAATAATCGTTTAATAGTAAAGGCGTCTTTATCAATCAACTCTCATTTTCTTTTGAAGTTTTTATTTTCAATTTGCTGATATGATACTTGCAGCAAAACAATGCCTCACTCTCTTGGCCATGAAGAGTAAGATGCTAATACTTTTGCAAATTGGGTAAGTATTTGCTTGTTCTTCTTAGGTGTTCTATTTGTACCATGGAATTTGTCGATGATGCAGGGGCTACCTAAAAAGCTCCCAGCGAGAAGGCAAGGGAGGAATAAATCCGGGAGATGCCCTTTGAGGAGGTTCTGCCTCAAGTCCTTGTTCTGCCCCTTTTGATGCCTCTTTTGCTTGTGAAGTCTAGGTTTCGGTCCCATTTGATGCCTTTACTGCAGCTGCCACACTAGTCCCTCTTTCTGATGCCAATGATGATCAACTGAGCCCACACACCACCGCTTTGCGCCAACTGTCTCTTCTAACTATACTGATGCTATACATTGCTCGGATACATTTTAACAAGATGCCCCCCGGTGGCCACCTGTAACAAGGCGGTAACCGAGGGAGGTGCTCATCTAGCCCTTACTTGTAATAAGAACATCAACATGTTCTTGAATATGTAGAAGTGTTAGTTTTTAGTTGTGCCGTTTTAAAATATTTGTATTGTAATATTAGAATATGTGAATTTTACGATTTGAGTTATTAAATGAATATAGTTGTTTGATATTTTGATTATTTATAAACATCAATATGATTTTACTAATATGAGATATTATATTATTATAATCAATATTATTTTATTATTATGGACTAGCGTTTGCTCGCGCAAGGCGTGAGAATGTTTGCCCAATATTAATGCAAAATTTGTAAAATCCGAGTCATATAAAGTCATAAATTCAACAAAATATTTTTAAAAAAGACTAAAAAGTAACTACTCCGTATAATAAACTACATCCGTTTCACAAAAACGTCACTTTCCTATTTTGGATGTGGCAAAATAAAAGTCACGCTTCCCTTGTTTCCTTATTTGGCAAAGAAATCTATATCAAAACAGTGCCAAACAGTGTCAAACAATGCCAAATAGGGCCAAACAGTGTCAAACAATGTCTAAACAGTGTCTAAACAGTGTACTCTACAGCAAAGTCAATTTATTTCCTTAATAACTATGAAGTCAAACCGTGACATTTTTTGTGAAACATAGGGAGTATGTAAATGTGGATGTTGAGCAAATCCCAGGAAAGTGAAGTGGAGTGAAGTTGTGATAAGAGTGTGAAGTTGGGAATATAAAAATTGTTTAAATTCATATTTAAAAAAAAAGCGTGATTGGAATTGAAGTGTAATAAGTGTACTCCATATAAATTCCAATATAGATTTCATTATTTACTAACCTGTTTTTAGCCAACAAGATACTCATGGTACTGTAATCATAGGCAACACCTTCGCATATAGCCGATATAGGCACCCATAATCGTACAAGCAAATAGTTTCCCCACTGAATTTAATAGTATGAATTGAGTGGATAGATGAAGTGTCGACTCAAACTTTCAAAGTTGAATTATACAGAGTATTGTTTTTTAGTTTGTCTGGTATGATGATGAACGAGCAAGGATATGTGCCGCAAAAGTTAACGGATGTGAAAGCATTAGACGATGTAAGGGTAATGGAGCGAAATGAAAAAGTAGGTTCCACTTTTTAATACCAATGTACAACATCTTATGTCAAAGGTGTATTGACACAAATCAGGGGTATCAACCATGATTCACAGTTATATTGTTGTTAGATATACACACACATGATACCAATGAGTCATAAATATGTATGACACCAACGTGTCAAAACATTTTTTGATATTAATGTATCGTTAGTTCAGATGATGTCTAGGAGTCATTAGGAATACCAACACCAATGTATCACAGTTCTCAATGATGGTTTTATGTCATAATTTTCTGACACAAAAGTGATTTGTTAACGGTGACACTAAATTTTGTGTCACTTGCCCCTCTTGTCTGTGACACTTTCAGTATGTCACTAAATCGTTTAGTGACAATAATTTAATGTCACTATAAGCCATTTTTTTACTAGTATGACGAGGGGCTTGCGTACATCAAACAAAGCCTTACAATGCGTCAAAACACAATTGAGGGGGGGGGGGGGGGGGGGCTTACAGAATTTTAGGGGAAGAAGTGAGGTTTTCATGTACGCTAAACATGAGTATAAACACCACCGATTCTCCGCAATGTTTTGGCCAAAACAACAACAGTACACGTACAAGTGACATCATCATGGAACAGAGCACTTCAAACATACTGAAGCATATAAATACCATAAGGAGCCATCTGGTAGAAGACCAATCCGAGGAGACCGATAGGGATGATACCCTCCCAGATGCTTTTGAAGACCCACCTATGTTTGAAGAAAAAGAAGATAATAGTGTCAAGTTGTTTTTCCAAGAATACAGGAAAAAGTTTGAAACGGTACAAGCTGTAACTGATGAAGTCACAAATCACTGTGATTTTCATACAGAAACCCCTCAGCCGTTTGATTAATCATTAGTCTCAACACCTGAAGAGGGCAAAAAGAAGATCAGTCATGACGTTGATGCAACTACAGAGGTAGGTTTGGGTATTGAAGATGAGTTGGGAGAAGATGATTACACCCTCCAAGAGAGTGGGGGCGAGGTAGATGATATCCGTAATGAAGAAGTCCCGCTCCACAAGCAAGATTACCCTTCTTGTACACCTGTACCGATCCACTCCTACGTGGTTTCAGATTTGAATTTTTTTGATTCACTACTTGATGATATTCCATTTTGTACGGAGAGTGACAACATCATCCAAGAAGACCCTGATGAGAACGGTGTTAACAAGGGTTGGGATGCCTTCATGGGGAGTGATACAGAGTCCAGAGGAGAGGTTGTGAATTTTCATGATATTTGCGAGGAAGAAGAAGACTTTTCTGTGGTGCAGTTTGATTATGGTGTTGCTCCTTGATAAGTCTGTATTTGAACACGCATTTGATGCGTGTTCGGGTCGGATTTTGATGTTTTTCCTAGCTTTAAGGCGTTGCAAGTCTCAATTTTGGCTCAAGTTGTGTTTAGCAAGCGTTGGATCGAGTTTTGTTGCAATTGGAGTTGAATTGAAGAAGTTAGAGGTCACCGGGAGATTCAAGGTGAAGAAAGATTTGTCTCAATTCGAGTTTTGTTGCAATCGACGCTAAAGAGGCATTCGGGAAGGATTTGAAGGCGTTCAAGAAAGATTTGAGAGATTTGGAGGTCACCGGGAGATTCAAGGCGAAATTCTGATGAAGAAAGAGCATTTGGATCGACTTCGTGGGCATTCGGGAGCATTTGGAGCAAGAAACGAAGAAAAATGCTGAAGAAAAGCCCAGGCACGACCGTGTCTGGTACAGGCACGACCGTGCCTGGAAGGGGAAGGCACGCAAACATTCTGCCAGCCAGGCACGATCGTGCCTGCACCCGATACGCGCGTTTGCTCCGCAGGCACGGTCCCAGGCACGATCGTGACTGGCGTCGTGCCTGGCCCCGATTTGTCCTATTTCAGCTCAAATTCTACTGTTTTCTATAAATAAGGCCTCCATACCCCTTTTTGAGGGTTACGAACTTTGTGGAGAGGCCTAGGACGAGTTTTACCTGCGTTTTTACGTTGTCTACTTCGAGAACCTGGGATTCTTTGTAAGTTCAATTCTTTTAATTAATGACAATTTATTCTATTCATCCCAATTCTGTTGATTCGTCAATTATGAGGCGCGAGTAGTTTAATTAGGGATTTGGGGTTGATGAAAGGGTTAATCATGATTGATGGCTAGATTCTTGTCGGTTTAATTGCATGAATGTCGTTTAATTTGTGTTTGAATAATTTAACTGATATCTTTTGTAACCTGGAACCGCGGCTAGAATTACAATTGCATATAGAATAAATTAAGAGAGATCTAGTTTACTCTAGGACACATTCACACACACTTAATCGTTCACTAAGAGATTAGTAGCGATTAAGGGGCCGTAAGCTCATTCGTCTTGGCAATAATTTAGGATCCTGTCGTATGAGAGATCAGCATGGTCCCCTAAATTATTGTACTCTACGCCGCGAGAGCGGTAAGAACTTAGTAATGATTAGCTAGGCTCAATTAAATCAATTTCATGTAATTAGGCCTGATCTGCCAGAAATCTGGTTAACCCCGGAATCAATTCCTGTTCCCTTCGTCGTTAATTAAGGAAAAACCAATCTTTTTAATCGCTCATTAGTATTAGTTTTATTTTATTCACCAACCAATCTTGCAATTTTATTTTATTTATTTTCTTTTTATCGCTGAATTTAGTTAATTCTTATCTCCCTTTTGTTCGTCCCTGTGGAGACGATACTCGTACTTTCAACCACTTTTCTACAACCTTTTTAAGTGCGAGAAAACACACATCACTCCTACTCCCTGCTTGGAGACATGTTTTGAGCTTCCGGTGATGCCTAGAGTAATCAAAGTTTTCACTCATGTTGCCTGTCCACCTGAAGAGGATGAGAGTTGAATGTTCTCGTCTATGTGGACGACTTGATTATTTCCGGAAATGATCATGATGCCATCCTTCACTTTAAAGCATATCTCAATGACTGCTTTCATATTAAGGATTTGGGTGCTCTTCGGTACTTTCTTGGCATTGAGGTAGCTAGAAGCCCCTCTGGTATTTTTCTCACTCAGCGGAAATATACTCTGGATATCTTATCTGAAACAGGGCTTCTTGGCGCAAAACCTGCAACTTTCCCTATTGAACAGAATCACACCTTAGCAGCGGCAATTGGGCCTTCTCTTGCGGATCCGGAGCCTTATCGACGTCTACTTGGTCGCCTTATTTATCTCTCTGTGACTCGGCCCGATCTGGCTTATTCTGTTCACATATTGTCTCAGTTTATGCACGCACCGTGTCAAGCTCACTGGGATGCCGCGCTACGAGTGGTTCGATATCTAAAAGGCTCTCCAGGATAGGGCATTCTTATGCGCGCTGACAGTGACCTTTCGTTAACTGGATGGTGTGACTCTGATTGGGCTGCTTGTCCACTCACCCGGCGTTCTTTGTCGGGATGGTTAGTTTTTCTTGGTCACTCTCATGTCTCCTGGAAAACCAACTGTCTCTCGCTCATCAGTCGAAGCTGAATACCGCGCTATGGCTGCTGCGACTTGTGAACTCAAATGGCTCAAAGCTTTGCTGATTAGTCTCGGCATTCATCATCACAAGGCTATTCCTCTCTTTTGTGACAGTCAGTCTGTTTTACATATTGCTCGAAACCCGGTTTTCAATGAACGAACCAAGCATATTGAAGTAGACTGTCATTTTGTTCGTGATGCTATTAAGGATGGACTCATTTCTCCGAGTTATGTTCCTACTACTGTTCAGCTTGCAGATATTTTTACAAAAGCTGTTAGAGATATTTTTAGTGTTGTGATCAATGTATTTTATCTAGCCTCTTGGTAGTATTTATTGTGTATTTAATAGGCCTTAAATGGAAAAGGCTACTAAGCTAAATTAGGAATGGGCCTCCTAAAAAGGAGAATCCATATCATTGTAAAACCTACCATTCTAAGGAGGCTATAAATAGACCCCTTAGGAATGGCTAGGTTAAGCTTTCCTCACTCAGAAAAA